GCTAAAGCTGTTTATAGTGATAATACCTTGTCTGTGATTGCTGGAGCAGCAGCAAAATCTTAAGCCTCACAACAGGAGGCTTTTCTTATGATTTTGTCAGCCCAATGTTCCAACATAAATTGCTCAGAAATGAATGCATAGTATTTATCTTTGCAACGTCATGGAACAGGGATGCAGTTTAACTTATTGAGGGCATGGTAATGAATATTACAGGGCTTCAGTTTCTAAATGGATTCTTCTGGCAACACCAACATGTCAAGTGAACTATAAAATGTGATATAATTTGTGGGATGATTTGCCAGGCTTACATTTGGGTAATGGCCGGCATGTGCCAATGATGTTTTTGTAATGCTATCTGCCTTTTTCAAGCAGTGGAGGGACAGATGGTTGTGTTGCAAATATGTAACATCGCATGGGCTCAGCCAACTTTTACTAGGTTCCAACTATATGCTTTTTTATGCCAGATAAGCATTCCAAGGGATATATGTAAAAAACATGATTGGCTTGGTTCAGATTTGTTGTTGTTGCATTATGTGTTCTACATGCCCCAAATCAACTCAGCATATTGTTCAAGCTAAACCATAAACATATGTTAGTAATTTTTAATGAAACTTCTGAATATAAATGTGACCCCAGTCTATTTCCTTAATGCTAACTTGCCCGATTGACAATATGCACTACATAGCCCTAACGAAACAAAGCACAGTATTTAATCCAAAGACTGGTTTGCTAGTTGTATTTTTACCCATATGCAATCGCTTCATCTTCTAGATCAAGCTAACAATCTCGTAAACCATATATGGATGTAGATGTACCCATGACTTAGTGATAGGGCATTGCATGCTGAAGTTGTTAGTTTTAATTTGAATGACAACTCAGTTGTTAAATAAAAGGGTTGCTAAATGAAAAATCCCATAATCATGTTTACGATTTTACCTAGGATAGTGTGTGTAACTGTCTGTGATGGCGAAAATGTGGCTGAGAGAGAGAGACGCTGTGAAGTTTGTAAATGTGGGCACTGGTCACAAAGCTATTTTTTCATCACTGTTATAACTGGGATTGGTTGCTAAATGATACAGTTGCTACCCTACCTTTGATTCCTATCAACAATTAGATTGCAATATTCTAGATTAGTTGCAACTTGGATAGTTTAAGTGGCCCATGAAGAACAAAAATGGTCCATTCCATATACAACTAAGCTCTGCTTCATCAAGACTTCTTCATCAAGACCTTTTTCCAACTGGAAATCCACCAAAATGGCTCCATTTGGCATATTGAGCTGAGATATACAAATTCATCCTGATTTCATAGCTGAAATCTCAGCATTCAGGTTGAGGACAATCCAGGAGGACACCTAGAATGCATATCTGAATCGTGAAAGCTGAATCTTGAATTCCTAATCTGCCTGATTGACAACTGGAGGATCTCTGTTTTATCTATGATTAAGCTTCAATTTGTTCGCCCTCCTATAAGCAGGCTGGACACATGCAACAATCAAATTAAATGAATAACATAAATATGGGATAAAAAGAACAAGCAAAATAAAGAATCCCTTCCAAAAAGGTTTTGTCACAGCATGGAAATATCTTGGTTCCAGTTGCTTATGCTTTTCCATGACTAGAATGAAATTAATTATAACTGAATCCATGCCATATGAATTCAAGTGATATAAACCAGACAACAAAACACCCACACTCTCCCTCTGAGTACTTTAAGCTGCTGCCAGAAGATCTTGTGAGAAACTGAGGGCATTTTTTCATTGTTGAATTTGGATCTTCAGGGAAGCCTGTGCTGAGAGGCATGTAGGAGGGTTTGCAATAAATAGGCTCAGAGAACCAAATATCTTTTACTCCCCTGATGTTTGATTTCTGACACTCTACAGCATAGCCCCGTGAGTTTCTCTTTTGAGATATGCTGGATTTCACCAGTAGGGGACATCAAAGATTCATTTTCAGAAATATACCTATTTTTAATCTTGTAATAAGGTCTATTCATGGCAATTGTAAACTCAGCATCATAGATTCATATTCCAGTTCTTCCTGCCAACTATATTCAGTGTGTATTTAATATTTAAAATATGTTTTCTTTGGCTATCAGTTACAACTTACTGCTCAGAGAAGTCTTGGTTTATTTCAATGAGATCATGTAAAGACCTGAAAGCAAGAGGATGGAAATTGGATGTTTAGGACTAGAATGACCTTGGTCTCTGTAACTGCCAAACATCTGTCTGAAACAAAAGGACCAGCATATATAGAAGGGCATTTGTTAGATATAAAAATATTCAACCAGGACTCTGTTCTTGGCTTGTTTATGTTATAATCCTGGGAAGACTAGGATGGCTTAATCAGGGGTATTCCTGCTTTAGTTTCCAGAATTCCATGAATCATATTCCCGAATTAGTGGTTGTTCTTCTCCAAGTAGTTCTCTATCTATCTATCTATCTATCTATCTATCTATCTATCTATCTATCTATCTATCTATCATCTATCTATCTATCTATCTATCTATCTATCTATCTATCTATCTATCTATCATCTATCTATCTATCTATCTATCTATCTATCTATCATCTATCTATCTATCTATTTATCTGGAGAAGAACCACTAATTCAGGGATATATTTATATATATTAAATGTTACAATTATGTTACAATGCAGATGAAAACCAATAAAAGAAAAAAAGTGCTAAAAGAAAAGAATAGAAAAAATAAAAAAGAAACAATAATGATATAGTAAAGAAAAAGAAAAGAAATATATAAAGAAGTAACTTCCCCTTCCTCACAATTATAAGCAATTGTAGTAATGTATCGCCTTCTCCTAAAATACAACACACGTTCTCTTTTCCCCATAACTTATCTCTTTATCCATAAACAAATCTGTAAAACATTATTTCAGTCAGCAGAAGCCCATTAAGGTTTAGCAGAGATAGCAACACATCTTTTTAAAACATCAATAAAACAACTTTATAGTCCTTTACTTTTAACAATCTTAGTCTTTAATCCCTTCAAATGATGTCCAAGAACTTGACTTCTTTTCCTGTTTTTTCTTTGTCAATTCCTACAAATCAGTTTCTAGTTTAGTTTTAACAAAACTAAATCAATATAATCACTCTTCTGGCTTGTTATTTATGTTTTTTTTTACAGGAAATTATTAAGACATCTGCATGTATCATTTGTATATTCAATATATCCTCTTCTCCCAGATCATTCTTTTAGCTTGTAATTTGTAAATCCACATTCAAATCAATTTCAGTCTGGTAGAACCTCTTCCTCTTACACAACATCATTTATACACAGTCTATATTGGCAAACATTTCTAAAATTAATTTGAGTCCATTGTTCATAAATATCTTTCAATATATCCAATATAAAGTATTTTGCTCCATTCTTTTAGCAAATTGCGTTTAAGTACTTCTTTAATTATAATCTTCAGTTTCTTCCTGTTTCCTCTGATGTCCAACTTTGAAAGTCTTATCCTATCATTTTTCTCAGAATTCAAAACATCAACCATTTGGAAGGAATCTTACAAATAATTTCAAAATCTTCTTTCAAATTGATATGGATCCTCAGACAATTTCTAACTTTTTCAAAACAACACTATGCTCACCCTTTTTCGATTTATTCCCTGAAACAAGATTTCTCTAAGTCCTTAAAATCTTATTTACAACTTTTTTGTCCCACCAATGTCTATATATGTATGCAACATATGATATATATTTCACAGTACATAATTATATAAGTGTATCCTACTCATTTTCCTTACTAACTGATGAGAAACACAACCTCTCTACTACTGAAGGTAATGCATTGCCTGACTAGCAATCATTTGTAGTTTTTTCTATCCGAATTGGCCTCATCTTCTTTTAAAGCTACCAAAATCTGCAACTATGACTTCATTTCTCACTCTGTCATCATTGTCCACCAAAAATCACTGTAGAAGTCAGATGATATTTCTTGCAATTTAAATAATCATCCTCATGCATATAGGAATCTCTGACAATGAAAAATCTGAAACATCTAACTTGATGTTTGGAAAAATGTCTATGTAGGTGTCCACCATGTGTGTTTGTCTGTGTGTGTGTGCGTGTAACATACCAGTTGTATAGAACTTTAAATGGGAAATAATGAAAATAACAAGTGAAACAATTCATTCATAGAATGGAAGTGTATGACTGGCCCAAAGGTAGCCATTCATCTGAATCCCCTGCACTAACCTAAAAGGTTGTTGTTAAACATTGGTAGGAGGGAACCTTGCCAGATAAACGCAGGTTAAGAATTCCACCCAGTATAATCGTCACCAAGGCAGCCGCATTAGCTATTGCCAAATGCATCACAATAAAAATGGCCTATGTTGAAAATAAGATTCATAGATTTTACTTCATCTTTGATCCGACTATGCAAATTGCATCTGGTGGGAACTACAAACACGTCGTTCGGTACTTTCTCCATCCGATTGATAGACCAGGCTTCATGACTATCCGAGCTCCCGGAGAAACGAGGGGTCGGGGAAGAGCTGCGGAAACTTTTAAAAGTGAATCGGTCCCTGGCCAATGTGGAGGGGAGGAAGGAAAGAGAGAGAGGGCATCAGCTTTGGCCGGCAGGGCGAAAGCAACTTTACTCGCCCGAGAACGCCGGAAGGGAAGGCGAGCATAAACCGCATCTTCCGTTCATTCTTAGCTTCTTGGAAAAACTACCAGCGGGGAGAAGTTCTCCTGATTGTTTCAAGTTGGCGATTGTCGCTTCTCTCCGCCTCGTTTCATCCGGCTGGGTAGTGTGGTGGAGAAAAGCCTCTGCTCTCTCCCGCTAGCGACCAATGTTCGTGTCCTTGGGGTCAATGACTGCCCTCGTCTCCCTCCCGCATTGTCACCCGCAGCTCCATAGCAACCTAACTAGCTTCGCTGTGAGACCGCACAAACCAGGCTGAGGGCCAAAGCGCAAACTCTTGGCAAGCCCTTTGCGCTCAAAATTCGGCTTGGAAGTTCGCCGCAGGCAGCCTCTTCAGCGGCCCCAGCGGAGGAGTGTTGTTCTTTCCCCTTTCCCCCCCGCGCCTGCCGGAGAAGAATGAGGCTTTAACTCGAACCCGGGGGCGGGGGGAACAACAGGGCTTCTGCAGAAGAGCCCGAGCGCGCGTCCGCACCATGCGAGAGAAGAAGCTCACTACTGGTAGGTGCCAGAACTGAGAGGCTGCCCGGGGCTTCCTCATCGTGATCCAGAGAGGGTGGGAAAGAAGCGGACGCTGGAAAATGCCAGTTCTCTCGCCCCCTCCGTTCCCCCCAGCGTTGTCTCACTATTCTAAGGAAAGGCACGATCAGAAAAGAGAGTAGTCAAATGTTTTCTGGACAACACCTACCATTTGTGAACAATGAAAACACAGAAGTCCTGATCTGCTCTTCCAAAAGCACCGCTCAGATTAATCTTGGGGTTTCTTTCCACCTTTGCAATTCGTCTATAAAATTAAAAGTGACCCCTCCCCCTCAAACCATTCCTCTTTTCATGAATAATATTCAATTATTGCTAAATGGTAAAATCTTCAAATTAGGCGTGCTTTGACTGCAGTTTTCTCAGCAGCTGTAAGGTTTGTCATTGGCTTTTTGCAAGAAGATTCCCCCTCCCAAGATTCCCCCCCCCCCACAAGCCTATCAGCCCTGGGATCCTGTGCTGGTCTTCTGCTGAAGTAGTAACCCTGCTCATCTTTGACCGGGTCAGTTAAGATTGGCTACTGTGTTAACGTATTATTTTCTTTTGACCCCCGAAATAAGCGCTTGGCCTTTTTTGGGGGAGGTCTTATTGTTTTTGAGGTACAGGAGGCAGTGAGCATGGTCACCTCATGGCTGCTGCTGTATTGCAATATTTTCAGGGAGGGCTTATTTTAGTGCATGCGCTCAAAAGCCCGACTGGGCTTATTATCCGGAGAGGTCTTATTTTCGGGGAAACAGGGTACTTGATGATCCAATGTTGGCAAATGGTTGTATAAATGCAGAATTGGGTTCCCAGCAAAAGATCTTAAGGAAACAAAAGAACACAATCTAACTAAGAATGAAGTAGCTGTCATTGAAATAAATGAAAGCTTAACTCTGGTTAATTTTCAGTTGGGCTGTTGCACCCAGATTAAATACGTTTTAACATGAATATGCCATTTTTATAAACGGGATTTGGTTTCCATTCTATCTATCATCTATCTATCTATCTATCTATCTATCTATCTATCTATCTATCTATCTATCTATCTATCTATC